CCTGTTGTTTTTAATTAATTATACCTTGATGGTGAAGGAGTTAAGCATGGCTTCATCAACGGTATTGATGCTCATTTTTAAAATTTCAAGAGACAGGTCTTCAAGAGCAGAAATAATTTTCACAGCCTGACCCGGAATCCGAGGAGACACCGTCTTCAAAAGAACATTTGCTCCAGAAAACTTCACTTCCACTTCAGCTACCGCAGACTTGGAGTTTGCCACCAGCTCGTTGACCGTGTCCAAGGTGGAGGAGGTGGAGGAAGAAGTTGGTGACAGCTCAAGTACTGCAGCGCCGCCGCCCATAGCTGTCGGGGAGAGGTAGCCTTGTTGATGCAATCTAGGCCTGTAAGGGCTCCCAGGTTGTGGGGTTCGTGGACTGATCGGCAAGTTCAGTCGGGGACTTAATGGCGGTTTTCTAGGACTGAGCGGCGACGGAACTCTTGGACTCGAAACAAGTCTTGGACTCAAAACTTCACAGTAAACTTTTCTCTGTTTCTTAGCTTCCAATGATTGTAGAACTTGCTGCAACTCATTGATGTAGTCCACCACGCCGCCGATAATAGATGCTTGATCTCCCTAATTGTACAAAAAAGCAGGATTAGTCAGGACAAAGATTTGAATATCCATGTAAACAATAAGTAGTTGTCTTACTTACCCTTTTGACATAGAAGCAAGGCATCAACGACCTCAACACGGACAAATGCTCATTCATCTGCTTTCTCCGGTTGCGCTCCACGGTTATATGTGACATCTTCAGTTGTCCATCTGGGTTTGTTTCTTCCGACGAAGTAGTACTTACCTTCTGTCTCTTGCTCTTGGGGGTGGTTTCTGGCTCCGTTTCCGACAACTCTTGTAAGGAAGAAGTGGACTTCTGGGACACCAATCTAGTTCCTTCTTCCACTTCTTTCCGCCTAATAACAGCAGTTTCATTCGGCGTTGCAGCCGGAGAAATATCAACGATGTTGTCCAAACTGTCCAGAATAGCAAACAGATCGTCTCCGGCCAAGTTGGTTTCTCCAAAATCTGGGTCGTCGAACAAGTCAATCAAACAATCATCCATTCTGAATTCTATTTTGGGTAGTGTTGTTTTTCTCTATTTTTTCAGGGGAGGACGGTGAAGGTGGAGATAATTAGAAGTATAAATGCTAAATGGAGAAGTAATTTAAAAGGAGGGAGCAGACATGAAAGGGACTAAACTATCACCATCAAGTTCATTTTTTGATGAGTATCTTTTGTAATTTTGGGTTAAATGGGAGCATCAGCAGGGTGAGGGATATTGGAAAGTTGTGAAGCGAAGCATAAAATTCTCAGGAAAAGGCCAAAATTCAGAAGATGGAATGGAAGATAGGAGGTAGAGGAAGGCCGCTTGGTGGTTTGGTTCCTGCTGTGCGCTATCCCGTTGAGGGAGAAAAGTATATACGAAGTGGGAGATGAGGTAAGGAAAATACACGATATGATTTGTATTGGCGCTGTGATGAAATATATAATATAATAATGGGAAGTTTGAAAACATTGAAAGTGACTTGAGTGATTAATGAGAGAGAGAGAAGGGGACCAGGGTTTTTAATATATTGAGCTTTTTTTTTTTTTTTGAAACGTAATATATTGAGCTTTATTTAAGTTCAATTAAGTTATTACTTAGTTAAATTTTATTTGCATGGGGGTTTTTTAAATATTTTAAGGAACAAATTCTAAATAAAAAAACATTTTCTTAATATTTTCTTTATAATAAGTTCTCACAAGGTAAAGTACATGATAATAATTTTTATTAACTTATAGTAAATTAATGTAAATTCATATGTTTGATAATGGTTTTTTTTTTTTTTTTTGGTTGCCTCTGGACGCTCTCATC